GAATTAGAAGGCAGTTGATCTCCTCGACTAGATGTTAACCTTTTTTTCTGTAAAATCAGATTTGTGAGTGCTGGAAGCGTTGAACTGCCCGGATCGTAGCCCAACTCTGGTTGGTGGAGGTCTGACTGATTTCGATCTTTCGAATTCCTTTGAAATGAATTCCTCTTGGCTGGTCGATTTGGTTGTAAATCCTTGCGTTGGATTCTGAAACAACTGCACCAAACCGGTAAGTTACCATATGAAATTATTTGTGCCTTAGAGCAGAAATTTATCAATTCGGCCGGCTTGTATCATTACTTCGTAGCTTATACTTCCGAATTTACAATGCTGATGAGAATGAAGATCAACAAGATCACAATGATTTTTTGCCATTTACTGGTGTTTGCTGCAGAAAGGAATTTTGACCAACTTATTTTCACTCGAAATTTCTGGATTGTTACGGCATATTTTCATCAAACGAAATCAATAACTGCAAAGTTACTTGGTAGTTTGTAGGAGGCTTGGCGATCACAGGTTTCTGCGCATTCCATGCCTTGTAATCGTCTGAAAAGCTCTTCACTAACGGTTTTTAGAATCCTTGTCAGCAGTGCTGAATCAGATCGATTTCTTTTTTGCATCAAGAGAATTCTTATAAACTTGAGTGTTGGTTTGATAAGCGAGTACAATCGTTTTGTGCACACCGTCGCCACAATCTTCAAAATGCGACATTACCAGCATTCGTGGAACGCGCATCAGCCATCGACAACTTCGATTTGTAGTCTTGTTCTTGCGGTCGGAATGCCTTTGCTCTTTCACCAGCTTCTTTCACATCGTACATCTTTTTGTACTCGCTTCCGTTCTCTGCCGAACCGTCAGCATTGTTTGCAATTTGCGGACCATCCGAGTGTGCACAATGATGCATCCTTTAAATCGATCATCATTCGTGAANGAGTGGTGTACCAATATCATTAATGTTGTGACCCTGAGCCAGGCTATGATCCGGCCTGTATCTATTATCCAATTATCTGTTTCAGCAGCGTTTCGAGCAACTTTTCAGGGTTTGAGTGTTGGACTTCTTGCTCGTTTTTCATCCAGATCAATCACAACCTTGCAACCGTAGTGCCTCGTTTCAAATGTTCATTCAACCGCTTAAAATAAAAACGACTCATTCTCACATTTCTTGCCTGAATTGTTCACTGCAATAAATGTATTGCTCAACTTTGCAGCTATCCTTAATCTTTTGAAAAACTAGTCATCGTATGTTTCCTAACAGCAAATTGTAATTTACACGAGAGTACCTTATCACGCGGGATAATTATTATGTTCTACTGATCGATGAAGTGCAACTCTGCAAAATCATTGTGTTTTCTAATGAACAAGGAAAAATTCTGAATTTACGGTAGTTGATGGCACAACAAACCCGCAGTTGCACAGCTCACAGATACATTTTTCGTCAGTTGAATTATTACTCGTCATATTCTCGTCCAGCAAAGTGATCTTGCGGTTTCTTGCGG